AACTATCAGCTGTTCCGTGGGAGACAGATGAGGCTTTCTGCTCCCGTAAATATTTGCAGCCTCGGAAACCCTGTGCAGGCTCACTATGAGTCAGAACCGACTCCACGGTACTTAACAACAACTACAACATTCAGCTAAACTAAAGGACAATAAAAAGTCAAACTTTGGGGGCTTTGTCTATAAGTACGAACACTTAGAAGTGAGCATGACAAGACTTTATCTCAGAGGAAAACATCATCTTTGGAAAAGTAGTTAGCGAAAAATAGTGAGACACTCAGTGAGATTGACTGACACGTTGGGCTCAAACACAGCATCAGTGTGCAGATGGTGGAGAATTGGTAGTGTTACCAGAGGGTCATTACCTGTTGGATGGCACTTAACAACAAATTGCAGAAAATGGTGGTTTGAATATACTTCATTCCTTTAATGAAATATCTGATTAAATTGTAGTACTCTAGCTGTCTAAGTGGAGTCCAGGTGTGATTCTTTGGGAGAGCACTGGACCACAAGGTATATTTGAAGCACAGGATTGGCAGTTCAAAGTCACCTTGAAAATCCTATGCAGGATTGCTATGAGTCAGAACCAACTCAAGGACACATAACAATAGGCATCTACGTAAAAGCACTTAGTAGTATTTAATAGCTGCCCTATGCTTTCAATTTAAGGAACTCTGGTAGCATACTGGTTATGAATCGGGCTGCTAACCTCAAGGTCAGCAGTTCAAAACTACCAGCCCGTCTGTGGGAGAAAAATGAGGCTTTCTGCTTGGTGCTGTGGGTTAATGCACCAGACCAGAAAGCCGTTTGAACTGCAAAGTGGGCGGTTCAAGCGCACCAGCTACTCCTCGGAAACCCTATACAGGGTCTCTATGAGTCGGAACCGACTAAAAGGCACACTACCACTACCACCACTATTAACTTGGACTTCTGGTGTGGCGCTGTAAGATCAGCACCAGACTGTGAACCAAAAGGTCGGCAGTTCAAACCCACTAGCTGCTCCTCGGAAACCTTATAAAAGGTCTCTATGAGTCAGAACAGACTTCACGGCACTTAACAACAACAACAATTATATCATCGACTTAGTTATTTTGTGATCGCTTTGTCTGCTCTTTTTGTGGAATCGTGTTGGTGAAGTTCCTCCTAAGATTGCTGCACTGGAGATTAGACTGACACTGTATACAAAGTAAAAGCCTTTTCAAATTGTTCTGGAATCGTGCTGTGATGCTGTGGGTTAATGGTGCTCGACTGCAAGATCGGTATGAAACGCAAGGTAGACTCTAAGGCACTTAACAACCACAGAATAACTCTATTGTCTAGTTCAAGTTTCCATATAGTGGATGATAGTATTTTATAAATATTAGATACTTGAATGATATCAGTATTTAAATCCTTCCTGTTTTGAATATGTTTTTACTTGCCAATAGTCATCAAATATTTGTGTGTGTGCAAAGTCTGTATATACAGTGTATGTGTTACGTGAATGTAATTGCTCTCAGAACATTTTCCTTCTTGCATTCATTTATAGGAAAGTCATATTTAGTTGTGTATGTAGCCTAATGCTAGTGATAATTTCTTTTCTAATATCCTCTTCAAATATGTATTATATAGATTGTTCTAGAAAATATTTTGATGATAGGACTTTAATGGTATTTTCAAATACTTACCAAATTCTCAGAGATTGCCGAGAGAATGTTTGGAATTTATAAATTTTGTTAGAATCATATTGGACAAAAATATTAACATATCCATTCGTATTTTCTTTAACTAATTTAGCAACCACCATTTTGAACAAGTTCAGAGAATAGACCATCATTTTATTAGAAAGAAGTGAATTGATTTCAAAGTTGCTTTTTATTTAGGTCTATAAATGTCAGCTAAGGCTTACAAAATGTGCTGAGACACATTAGTGACCAAAACTGATTATTTGTATCCAATGAATGCTTATAATTGATGTGCAAACCCTTGGCTCACTAAACTCTAAGAGAACTTTCTTCAAATACTGATGAACTGGAGTTTTTTTTTTAATATTGAGTGTTTAATGATTTCAGGCCCTGTGAAAAGCATTATATATCCACATTGTTCTCTGGATTCAAAGTAGCAGAGTAAAGAATATGAGACCTTTTTGGTACATAAAATAATGCAATTGCCCAGTTTCAAAGTTCATATAAAAATATTTGTTAAGTATTTGAATATTTTCATTAACAAAATTGAAAAATAAACATGGAAACCTAATATTTCCAGTCTACCATGGGTTCACTTTTCCTTCTTACTGTGATTTAATACCAAGTACTTAGAGCTAGGCCATCATCATTACAACATGTGATTATAATTAGATGGATCTGGAGTGCTTTGTCCTGCAAAATCAGAAAAGAACTAAAATAAAGTTTTCAGTACTCAAGCCATGCAGAGGACCCTGACTTTGACAAAAATTGTTAGAAGCATACACACATTTTCATCTTTGAAAGTCTCATCAGAAAAGTTGTCAAGTAAACTTTTTTACAAATTGACCATGGATAATTCATAAGTAATTTAAATCCAAATGCCTGATGGACTTCCAGAACATGGACTTTCTGTTCCTGTTTGGATAGCAGAATCAAAGCATCAGCTTCCACAATAGTTCTCTCAAAGTTTACCTTGCTTCAAGGTGAACCTGGGCTGGCATTAGCATAATCAGTGTATGTATATCCAGAGGTTATTCCCCAAAGCCCCAGACTGTCTCTTTTGCTTTAGCTTGAAACCAGAATATACATTATTACTATATGAAAAAATGATAAAGCATCATCTGGAAAGCTAAAATGTTGCAAAAGCTTAAATTACATTTCATTCCTCAGGCTTAAAACACAAATTGAGTATTATTCAAATTAAAATCACCTACTTCTCATACCTTAAAACTGTAATATGCCAGAACAGGGCAGTTGCAAACAGATGCAGTATCCCAAGGTTTTCAAATGGGTAGAATTAAAAAAGCAAATGTCTCATAACTTTGGGGGCTATTTGATGATGATAAACTAATAGGAAAGGGGGAAGTTCCCTCAAAATTATAACTTCCTAGGTTTTAAAATTGCAAAATAATGATGATCATGTTTGGCAAATAAGACCAGTGTGCTATGAATTCGTATCTAACACCAGAAAAGTTGCCTAAAACAATTTTGAAAGCGAAACAGGAAATTCTAAAGAAATAAGCTCATTAGATAAAATAAGTAGAGTTCTGCTTTACAGATTTCTATTGAACACTAGCTTTGCTGTTGAAGATTTTATGAATATTTTATGTAAAATGTATTTAAATATATATTTATAAGCCAATAAAATTAGAAAATTAGAGTGTCTGCCAACCTTTATGTACCAGAGCACTTTGAAGTAGGCAAAGCATTTTTACAGCTATTTGTTTCATCCTCACAACAGCCCTGTGAGGTAGGAAGGGAAGGCATTCTCATTTCTATTTTGCAGTTTGAGATCCTGAAACTCAGAGAGATTTGGGGGCATGTTCAAGGACACATATATGGAACACCAAATATTTTGCTTCTTGTCCTACACATTTTCACAACCTTCTATGGGAGAATGACTACGTTAGACAGGAAACGTTAAGCCTGTGTAAGGAACAGTGAGTCAACCATGAGCATGTGCAAAGCCCAAGCAAGAAACCAACAAACAAACCCCAAACAAAACAAACAACAGTTGCCATTATGTTGATTTTGATTCATGGCAACGCCATGATATGTATATGCTAGACAATGGTTGTGATATTTAAGAAGTAGATTTTCAGGTCTTTCTTCCAAGGCATCTCTGGGTGGATATGAACTACCAACATCTGGTTAGTAACTCAACACTTAAAAATTTCCCTCCCCAGAGACTTCCTGGGTATACAAAGTGTCTGTAAAATAGAAGATAGTCTCTTAGTTATTGTGTTAGGTACATTATTTATGACCACTTCTATATTGATAAGCAATTTAGGCTTACTTATAAAGTAGTGAGCAAAGCAAACTTATGATGATTGGTTCTGGATCTGTGGTGGTGGTGGTTATGTGCCGTGGAGTCACTTCCAACTCATAACGACCCTGTATGGGATTTCATAGGCTGCAGGAATGATCAAAATTGCTGAGTCGAATGTACTAAAGCCAATTAAATAAAAGAGTTCCCTGATGTTTGGTATAGGAGAGTATGTGTAGCTGTTTGTGAAATTAAACCTTTCCCTGACATAGCAGATTCTCTGAGTATATATATCTTAAACCATTCATTCTATCCATTTAAGAAAAGAAGGTTTTTCTATGGCAATAAATGTGGGTGGGGTGGGACTGAGACAGCAGTGTCCATGTGGGAGAACAGTGCACAACGGGTGCACAGAGTTGCATACGTTCGAGTGCAGGCAGCAAATCCCCATGCTCCATCAATTGTGTGTGGAGAAAAGAAGTGGGGAGGGCAAAGGGACGTTGAACATACGAGTCCATGACAGAGTGACTGGGTATATTGGAAACACCTCATGTAATTAAAACACAAGACAAGGCTAATGAGTTCTGTCACCATAAGAGAGTGTGGCTCTTAAGAGTCCACCCAGAAAAGTGGAAACAGAGGCCATGGGTACGTTCACACATTCCATTTTGCAGTCTACCTTCCCTATGCATCATAGACATCAGAGATTATGAGCCGATTGGTTAGTTTTGTTCTGATAAATAATCACAAAATATTGAAACAAATGTCATTGTTTGGCTTAATTCAGGTATTCTTATTTAAACAGTACCACAGACTTTATTGAGCGATTGAAAATATACACAAGAAATAATAACTTTTTTTCCCCTCTGTACTTTGTGTGTGTATGTATCAAATTTGACTTTCCTCCAATTAAATGACCCAATTTCAATCTTGAAAAGGGCACTTGTTTCTACGTAGCTGTGTACAGCTTGCTCAGTTCCAAGTACTGTCTCCACACTCCTCCTTGCCATTGCTGAGGTTGTTTCTCCACTTGCTCAGAAAGCAAATTCTACATGATTTCAGGAATTGACCCCCTAAGTTGTTCTTTCAGATTCTATTTCTCCATAGAGTTCAGCTAACTTTTTAAATTCAGGTCCCCAGTCTCCAAGGTACTGATAATCCTGGTCTGATTGTGTCGTTGCTGAATCTAGTGAGCTGATAGACCCAGCTTCTGATCTCTGACCCTCATAAGCATAGGTCTGAAGAGAGTCATACGGGGGGACGCTGGGGTCAAGGTCTGCTTCCACCAGTCTTTGCTTAATAAATTCATGAACATCTATACTTTCCATAGCCGACAATGTCTGGTGCCTGGGAGTTAGTTTCACTTCAGGTCTGATGTCTCTTCTGTATTTAAGCTCCTCAGCAGCAGATGGATTCCTCAAGGCTGTGATGTCAAAAGCTTCAGTGTCCTCTTCTCCACCCCCTTCATCATCATAGGTGACCACGTTCTCCCGCACATCTCCCTCTGAGATGATCAGGGGTTCTTTTTTACTGCGTCTCAGGGTGATAAAGAGCACAACAATTGCTGAGGAAAGAATGGACAAAGAATGAAAAGTTAGAAAAAAGTAAGTGGACTTTTGGGATAGTTGACATAAGCAATTTCCAATTCCTGTGACCAACCAGATTCCAGAATGACTATTATTATTATAGTTCTCTCTACAGCATTCCCTAGATCCAAATTTCAGATAATTTAATACTTCAAATAATATAAAAAAAAGTTACCCTTAGGAGATTGTAATCATCGCAATGAAACGATGAATGTAAAACTGATATTCTCCTATGCAAACTATCACTCAGTTAACAATAAAAACTGCAAAAAAAAAAATTAGTACTCCTTAAAAGCATTCAAAATTACTGATTCTCTTTAGTAACCCATAATATTCCCATAAGTCATATTTACAGATTCAGTGTTGTTGTTGACACATATTGAACTGTGGTAATTTAGTGTTAAAATGAAGGTAATGAGAAATGATATGTATTTTGATTAGAAAAATAATAGATTATATGATCTATCTATGGGTATCTCTACCTCAGTGAGATGGATTGGTACAGTGGCAGATGCAATGGGCTCAAGCCCAATGATTGTGAGACTGGCTCAGGACTGGGCAGTTTTTTGTTCTGTTTTGCATAAAGTCACTATGAGTCTGAACTGACTCCATGGCACCTAAGAGCAGCCATTACAAGTAGATTTGCTAGAGGAAGGGTACTTCCAGTTTCTGAGAACTAAAAAGTAGGCCAGTTTGAGCAAACCAGCCTTTCCATAGAAGACAAATGTGGTAGTCTGCTTTCATAAAGATTTGTTATTACTGTAATTAGGTCTCATAACTCCCTCATGGCCTAGTCCTGAGCCGGCTTCACAATTATTGTTACACTTAGTCCATTGCTGCTGCCACTGTGCCAATCCATCTTGTTGGGAACCTTCTTTTTGTGCTGACCCATCACTTAACCAAGCATGATAACCTTTTCTAGTGACTGGTCCTTGCTGATAATATGTCTGCAGTTTGAGAGACAAAATCTGGCCATTCTGGCTTCTAAGGAGCATTCTGGCTGTACTTCTACCAACACAGATTTGTTTGTTCTTCTGGCAGTCCATGGTACTTTTAATTTTCTCTTCAAACACCATAACTCAAATGCATTAATTCTCTATGATCTTCCTTAATCATTGCCCAACTTTCACATGCATATGAAACTACTGAAAATACCATGGATTGTGCATCTTAGTCCTGAAACTTTAAAATGTTCTTTGTTCTTGAACATTTTAAAGAGGTCTTGTGCAGCAGACTTGCCTAATGCACTATGTCATTTGATTTATTGATGCTGCCTCCATGAGTGTGGATGGTTGATCTGATCAAAATAAAGTCTTTAACAACTTCAATCTTTTCCATTTATCTAGATGTTGTTTATTGGTCCTGTGGTGAGAATTTTAGTTTTCTTTACATTTGTGGTACAAACCATACTGAAGGTTGTGGTCTTTGATCTTCATCAGTAAGTATTTTAAGTCCTCTTCGCTTTTAGTAAGCAAGCATATCACAGATTGTTAATGGGTCTTCCTCCAATTCTGATGCCACATTCTTCTTTGTGTAATCCAGCTTCTCAAATTATTTGCTCAGCATACAGACTGAATAAGTATAGGGCAAGAATACAAGCCTGGCACACACCTTTTCTAATTTCTACCATTCAGTGTCCCCTTATTCTGTTTGAATGACTGTTTCTTGACAGAATCAATAACAACACTCAATCCACCACTGTAGGACAAACTGGCAGATGAGTGGTGGACATACAATTTTAGTCTCAGAAACCCTGTTCTGAAAGGTTGCTTTGAGTTAGAATCAACTTGATTGTAGTGCTTTGGTTTTGTTTTCGGTTTTGATTCATATATATACGACAGCTGAACAGTGAATAAGGAAGATTAAAAAAACCTGATGCATTACAATTATGTTATTAGCAAAGTATATTGAAAATAACATGGGTTACAGAAAAATGAACAAATCTGTCTTGGGATATCTGCAATATCCCTCGCCCCATCAACAATAACAACAACAACAACAAAGCACTGCTATTGATTAATTCTACCTCATAGTGACTCTATAAACTGTAAATCATTGTAGGAGCAGACAGTCTCATTTTTTTTTTCCCCTGGAAGGGGATGGTGAAATGGAATTGCTAACTTTACATTTAGCAACTTGCCATATCACCCACTACAATACTAGTGCTCAGATAACCATGTTGTCACTGTTAAGTGCTCTTGAACTCATTCCCAACCATAGCTACCTTGTGGCACTAAACCAGGAGTGTTTGGTAGGCTTGAACCACCAACCTTGCAGTTGGCAGTTCATGCTTCTCTTGCAGCTCCGCACTAGGACTCCAGTATAGCCATTATTGTTGTTGTTGTTATAACTCATCAAGTCAGTTCCAACTCACAGAGACCCTGTATAGGGTTACCAAGGATCAGCTGGTGAGCTTGAACCAATGACCTTAAGATTCAAATCAACCTTTCAGTCCAGCACACTAACCTACATTGCAACAGCAGAACTCCCATAGAGCCATGATGCTCCATGAAAATGAGGATACTAAGACTTCATCTCAGTGTTTGAACCTTCAAGGAGATACAATGACACAGTGGCTACAGCAATGGAATCAAACATAGTATCAATTATGAGAAGAGCAGAGGATTGGGCAGTCTTTCCTTCTAGATTTCTATGGGCAGGAACTAACTTGAAGACACCTAATAACATGCACATGTATCACAAACTCAAGAGCGAGCTTCAGAAATTTGTTGGAAAATGGCATTATGCAACTAAAGTTTTCAAAAAGACATTTTGAAGCTCCCAAGTATATATGTATATATTTTACTTAGTGTTGTTACTGTTCAGTGCCATGGAGTCAGTCCAGACTCCTAACAACCCGGTATAGGGTTTCCAAGGAGTATATGGAGTAGTTAGCATTACAGTGCTTATCCTACAGTGCCACATCAATATGGATATATATTTCTATGAAATTAAAGATAATATAATTTTTTTCATATACTTTTTGAAGCTTCCTCATATATATAAATATAAAAGTACATAGAAAATATTGCTACAATATAATGGAAGCCTTTACTAATCAAAATGTAAACCTACTGTTTGTCAACATCTCCTCCATTTATGTCTCTATACTTTTGAAGCCAATTTTTCCATCTCTCTAACTCTTCCCCCAAATAATTCTGTAAAATCTATGGTTTATACTAAGTCAAAAAGACTAGTTTGGAAACCTAAAGGAAATCAATTTGTATTCCATTGAAATGTTCTTTGAGTTTGTGGAATAAACAGAAGTCTAAAGAGTGAAGATCAGGGCTGTATGGTGGATAGGGTAAGGTTCCCATCAAAATTTTCATAGAAGAATCCTTCCTACTATCGAAGAATGAGCACATGAATTATCTTGGCCTGTGTTGCATAAAGGCAAGTTTTTATTTTCTTAAATTTTCTTCTTAATATATACACATGATTGTTCTGTATATTTCAATAAAATCTGTAGATATTATCCCTTCAGAGTTCCCCAAAACAGTTGCCATAAACTGAGTTTATATTCCTTGAATTGAGTGGATCTTTTCAGAAGCCACAGTTTTGATGGGACTTTGCTTTTGAAAATATCCTAACGAGATTAAGACAATTGTATTCCTGAGAGAACTTGTCTGCAAGACATGCACTGATTGCAGAGACATCCTTAAACAGGTTTTGCTTGGAACAAACCTGTGTATGTATTAATTTGAACCCTACAATATAAAACAACACAGAAAAATACACACACACAAAAAAAATACCACCGTTGCCATCAAGTTTATTCTAACTCAAAAAGTTAGAGTATGCTATATAGGTTTTCAGTTTGCTTGACCTTTCTTCCAAAGTACGATTGGCTAGTTGTTGAGCTTGTTAAACATGTGTACCTCCTAGGGTCTCCCACGTAGGATAAATGTATTTTCAAGGAAACATGTGCAGGTGTATGTGTCCTAAATATTTGATATGTGCATATTCAATGTTTAAAATTCAAATTAATTGATTGTGCTATATTTTATGTACTAAAATAAGATGAGGCTTCCTGCTCTCATAAAGATTTATAGCCCCATAAGCCCATAAAGTCAGTGGTTCAAACTCAGCAGTGCCTCCTCAGAAACCCTACACAAGGGTAGCTATGTGTAAGAACAGACTCAATGGCACTTAACAACAACAACATTATGCCCTATATTGTTGTTGTTGTTGTTAAGTGACATTGAGTCGATTCCGGCCCATAGTGACCCTATATAGGATTTCTGAGGAACATTTACATTTAAGTATAAGGAAACCACCTAGTTTACTGCCATTGAATCAATTCTGATTTATAGAGTCCCTATATAGGGCATCTATATCATGTACATCCATATGCCCTATATAGGGTCCCTATAATTCAGAATTGATTCAATGCCAGTAAATTAGATGATTTCTTTATACTTAAATGTAAATGTTAATAAATGATACATCTTTGTTTACAGGTAGCATGCTGGCTGTACTGCTTGTAAGACAGATTTCTTAATTCTCTTGGCAGTCACTGAATGGTATATTTACTCACTTCACTAATATCATAATTCAAATACATCAAATTCTTCCTTGGTCTTTATTATTCATTGTTTCACCATTCGTCTGTCAGTTGATCACACATGTGACTGTGATTCTGGAAGCTATGCAGCTTTTTGTTTTTGTTTTTGTTTTTAATACTAGCATGGCTAACCATGGTGGACAGGTTTCAGACAAGCTTTCAGGCAAAAACAGACTAGGAAGGAGAGATGGACTACTTCTGATTATTTAGTCTTTGAAAATCTTATGAATAGCAATGCAACGCTATCAGATAGCACCAGAATATTGATTATTGAAGCATGATGAAAGCACCAGGATATTTTTAGATATATTGCCAGATGATACCCTCAGGTTGGAAGGCACTCAAAATATCACTAGGGGAAGAGCTGCTTCCTCAAAGTAGAGTTGACTGTGAGGATGTGAAGGAAAAAAAAAC